CCGAGCCTCTGAATCCCGTGCAGCACGACAGCAGCAGGTGCTGGGCTGCCTTCTCCCATGTGGCTGGAGGGAGGGGAAATCTAACTCACTGAAACATGTCCCTGGGCCTCTTACTGGAAACCGTGTCCCTCGTTTGACAGCTCCGGGCTCTCGATGCAGCACGTTTTCAGCTGGTGCCGAGCAGGGAGCTGAGGTACATGCTTCTGCCATGGGACGTCGCTTACGGCCCCTCCATCCTGTTTTGCAGGCGTTACTTTGAAAAGCAGTGGGAAAAATACCTGGCAGAGAGAGGCATATCAGACGGGATCTCGCCACCGACCTTCCCCCCCAGGTACGGCGTGGAAGAGAGAGACTCCTTCTACCCCTCCCTCAGCTACAACGGCTGGGGGGGCAGCAGCGGGCACGATGCCCCCATGATCGCTTACGACGCGCTGCTGGGCGCGGGGGACTCGTGGGCAGAGCTGGCTCACCGGGCCTTCTTCCATGGTGGTGACAGCGACTCCACCGCCACCATCGCAGCCTGCTGGTGGGGCGCCATGCACGGCTTCCAGGGCGTCAATGACTCCCTCTACGCCCAGCTGGAGTACAGGGACCGCCTGGAGCTGGTGGCCGAGCACTTGTACCACCTCATCACCTAGACGGGCACAGCGGGGCCCCCAGGGGTGCATTTACACCACGGCCACCCCTCGCTCGCTCAAGGTTTAGCAAACCCCATTTGCAAACCTGCTGGGTTAAAGCACAGGAGCGTCAGCCAGAACCAGATCTGCTTCTTTTGTGTGAGCTGGCCTCAATGGGGGACACACACGTGAGTGCAGGGAGTGTACATGGGCTGCAGATGCCTCCCAGCAATCCTAAACTAGCCCAAGCTCCCTGCCTGGTACTGTCACCAGGGAGTGCTGGGGACACCACTTGCCATCTAGCACTGAGACTATATCAGATGCAGTCCAGGACAACCTGGTTTTGGGGAGGGAAGGGAACAGGCAAACAGGCAGTTGTGCCTGGGGACAGCAGCTTTCTCACACAATTATTTTAGCAGATTTTTTTGTTTTAAATGAATGTGGGAAAAAACCCAAACCCAACCTTACAGCTGTGTCAGCAGTGCATTTTGCACCATTTCAGAGCACTTTTGCTGTACAGGTAAGAATGTATCATGCTATTTCCCTATTGCAGTTAATGTGGGAGTTCAAGACCACTAACCAAACCCTTAAGCGGGTAATGAAAATTAACAGTTTGCATATTACATCAACTTAAGCAGCTTCTGTAGTGAACAGTATTCTTCTGCTTACATCAAGGTTACTAAAGATTATTTGCTTAACGTTTGCTGTGGATAATTCTATTTTAAAAAAAAAAGTATGTCTTTCTTCAAATCCAGACTATGACAGAGCAAAGTACTTACTGTTTTCAAAGCAACTTAAAAAATGGTGCATCCCATTCAATAAACAGACCTGATGTGCCTTGGTTAAATGTTATATTCTGTTACAGGATGAATTAAGGGATGGGAGGGAGAAGTCTGAAGAGCCAGAGGGTGTAAGGTGTCTGCAAGCTCCAGCCTGCAAGAGAGGAGATGTGCTACCGGGGCGGGAGGAGAGTTAATGCATCAGGGAATGGGCGGTGGGAAAGGGAGAGGCTGCCTGAAAGGGGGTGTTGAGCACACCTTTATGCAGGGAGTGTGCATAAAGGCACAATGAAAGCCCAAATCTGATAAAAACCAGCAGCAATAGGATTCACAATTTCAACACAGTTTACTACAGCTCTCCGGTGTGTTGTATAAAACATGTTTTAGTGCAACATAGTACAAAGTTTTTGTTAAACGTTTGTTTTTTTTAAAAAAATCCCAAACATTTTTCCACATCATGCATGGATAGAGGATCTCTCTTTCTTCTTGGGTTTGTTACAGAAAGTTACAGCAGAGAGAGTGGTTTGAAAAGCTTCATGTTAAAATCTGTTACAGGAAGAGTCTGCCTTATAAAAACAGAAGTTTGAGACTGGGCAACATACTGCCAGAGCAATGGAGAAACGTCACTGGCAAGGTACATTCAGGGACCACCTGGAAGCCCAGGAAAGCCTGGGCACAGTGCAGGAACCGCAGGGCTGGGGAGGGACCCAATCCAGCCAGGGGCACTGGGCCATGGGACAGCCCTCCAAGAGAGCCCTGCTCCGGGGCAGACAGGCTGAAGAGGAGCAGGGCTCGGATGCAGCGCAGTGCTCTCCCAGGGAAGAACAGCTCCTGCTGACTTCATTCGCTCTTCTTCCTTCCTTTAAAGCTGAAGTGAGCTGCAGTTCCTGCCCCGGAGCAGTACGTGCAGGAGACACCACATTTACAAAACAATACCCATGGCTGCGGCTGTTTGCTCCTCGGTTCTTCATTTCCATTCACTTCTCATCCCACTCCCCTCTTTGCAGACGTCTTAACCAGAAAGGGAAGACAAGTGTGCAGGTGTGCGATATGTGTGTATATATATATAGGAGCGTGATATTACGCATATGCAGGGGTCAGTAAGCAGTTACGTCTCGAGGAGGCAGACTTTGCAGAGGGACAAGTGAAATTTGGGCTTCCCAGTGGAAGAAGAAACCAATGCCGTTCTGGTGGAAGAGCAGAGGGGGCTGACTTCAAACGCCCTAGCATGGAAAAGTCCACAGCCACATGGGTCCTCTCCCAGCTGGAAGAGAGGATACGTGGTGCAGATCTTCCACCTGAGGCGTCACCACCTCTGAAACATCAAGGCATCAGGGTCTAACCAACTAGTGCTACAGAGCATCTGCTGAAGTCCTCTTCACAAAGAGCAGTCCGACCCTCCTGAAGAGGGCAACGGCTGTGGGTATGGCACCTCTCACACACGAGGTGTGAGGAGTCTTGTGGCTGTGCCCATCCATCCCGGTTGGCTTCAGCCATGCTGCAAAAGATAAGTGGCCGGATTTGCCAGGAAGACATCGAGGAAGACAACAAAAGGCCATTTTTGGCAAAGATTTTCTTCCGCCAGACATAATACTTGGGGCGTAGAGGGGAGGAGGCGGATTCCCCCACAGGACAGGGCAGGGGTACTTGGCATTAAGGGGTACACGGGAGCTCGGGTGTCCCACGTGGCGAGAGCCCTGGTTTGGTTCATGAGAGCCATATCTTTCACAGAAAGAACAGCATTTCCTCTCACAGCGACAGCCTACAAGAGCAGATGACTTTGCCAGGATGGGGAGCTGATGGAGAAATGGTTTCTCCTCCTCAAGCCCCAGAAACACAGAACGGCAGATGCAGGTGCACACGCAGGGAAGATTTCTCTCAGCCCAAAGGGACAAGGAAGCCCCCAGGGTGCCAATATGGTGCAGGCTCCTCACCCTGCCCAAGCTCACACCAGAAAGTAGTGCAAGCCACAGGGAAACTCACGCCACATGGTGGTTAACTGCATGTCCTTGCTGCATGGCATGGCTGTAACTGGGCTCCTTGGCTTAACCATTCAGGGGCTGTGAAGCCACCCTGTGGAGCTTCCCCTTTCCCCCTTCCTAGAGTCATTACTTTGGTCGTGTTGAAGTCTTCAGAGACTGGATCCAGCCACTCATCCCCAGGTGACTGGGGCACAGAGGGGACCCACCTCGTCAGAGGTTGCAGCATGGACACCAGGGAGGAGCACAACTCTGGTAAGCTGGACTGTACGAGGACCTTATTTGCTACCAACAAAGTCAGAGCTTTCAGGTGTCCTCCTTCCATCCCTCCCTTCAGTTCCTGGAGACAAACTCAATTGCTTTTGTCCTGACCACTAGTGTACTGAATATTCAGTCTCTCCAACAGCTGGAAACACTCCAAAAGGTGAATTGCTCCCTCCTGAGAGAACAGCAGATGGAGGCAAGAAGATGCTGAAACTACAGCCAGTCCTTGAGATGGACGTCTTGATAGCTCAGCTAACCCTTCCGTAGGTGGGCCTGGTTTGTCTGTTATAGAAGAAGGAGGAGCTAGCTCAGCACACCTTGGGAAAAGACCTTCTTCACCGTGGCACCGAGTCTGAGGAGGAAAACCAGTCTGTTTTGGAAAACATACACATTTACTTCCGAAGAGATCGTCCCAGGACCAAATGCCCCTTTGGAACTCCTCGCTGTGTGGAAGGCAGGGGAAGCCTACAGTTCTTTCAGCGACCAAAAAAGAAATGACAACAAAAAAGTAATGGCCCAAAAGACAGCAACTGATGGGAACAAAATTAATCTGAGAGGAACATCTGCTATGTACATCAAGCGCAGGGACCCTCCGTCTGTCAGGATGAGGTGGCACGTTCCCCACGGGCGCTGGAGGAAGCCTTGGCCCTTCCTGTCCCCACTGGCTGGGGGGGCGCGCGAGGCAGCGCCACAGACACCGCAACAAATGAAACAAGAACAACAAAACCCACTCTGTTCCTTAGGGCTCCCGGTGTGTCTCTGCTTCTCTCTCTCTCTGCGTGTCCCCCTGGGTGCCTCTGCCTGTTTAATCTATGGTTCCTGGGTGGATGCTGAGGACTGGTGGCTCTAGGCAGGTGGGAGAGTAGTTGAGGTGAGGCTCTTTGATCCACAGCAAGGGGACCCCGTTCTTGCCCTCAGAGTTCTTGCTAGAGTTCCGGCTCTTGAACCGCACCAGAAGGATGGTGATGATCAAGATGCCAAAGATGGGGAAGGGGTAGAAGAACACAAAGTAGAAGAGGGCGTCGTTGGAGCAGATGACAGACTGCAGGCTGGAGCCTGGAAAGAGACACAGGATGGTCACATTTCATGTCTTCTCTGCAACATAGTGCCTAAAAACTTGTTTAGAAACAAAAAACCCCATATACTCATTAACCTGTGTCAATGGAGGAGGTGGGGCTCTGAGACAAATATCAATATTGCAGAACAGAGAAGCAGAAGAAAGTTATCTCAGGGCATGTTTTGGCTTTATCCCCCCCACCCCGAGTTCCACGAGTGACAGAGGAGAGTCCTCCCTGGTGCAAATTTTATGATACCTTACAAAGTGTGGAACCTTGCAAAGCATTGATTCCCTCAGTGGTCATACACAGAGGCAGCACCCCAGGGTATGTCCCTTAAGGGCCCACAAAACTCCCATCACCTCAGTTATCTCTGGAGCGTCTAAACCATCCAATGGCTTCAAGAATTGCTGGGAAGAAACCTTTGTGCCACAGCCTGCACCTTTGTGCACAGAAAAGCCAAACTCCAGCGTGTTTCCCAAAGGGAAGAGTTAAACCCCAGTTGTGGGCAATGTCTGTCCCCACTGACTCCAGACACACCAGGTGGTGTTGTGGGGTGGGCAGCCTCAGCACAGAGCTAAGTGCAGTGCTTAACCCAAGAAAGACATCGGCTGTCAGTCATTCACCTGGTTGGAAAAGCACTGGCACCACAGACTTGCCCCGGTGCAGGCGAGACCCAGTCCCATTCACTCCTTGGCCTTTTTATCTCGGCTGAACCAAAGATGCAGGAGATGCCAGGGCCATGCCCCCAAGAGGGCCGTCACCTCTCCTCACCTGCATCCTGCACATGAACAGCAACCGTGCCCGACTCCTCCTCTGCCAGCCGGTACCACACGCCGTTGGGGTCCGCCAGCCACT